GCAGTTTTTATCAGTACACGCACGGAACTTCCGCCTAAGAAATCGGAACTAGCGTGACATGTTTAATACGGGGTTGACGGGAAACCCAAATCACCTATAAAGATAGTCAAGCGATAATCGTTATTGCGCTTAATTACATGTTTCTAAGATTCTGGCCTTGTAAGTTAACAAGTTAACTTATATCTAAGGTGTAAATAGGAAACTCATTGTCAATTAGCAAATCTTTCAGGTGTGCAATTGTCATTGTAGTACAGTCAATCTGTAGGTTGAAAAAAAACCTAAAGGGTAAGTCTTGGTTTTTCTGTTGTCAAATGACGTCAGTAAGCCACCTTGGCGATGGGCATGTTCAACTCGTAGGCGTTTTTTGAAAAACTCAAAAAAACCGTCAAAAATTTTTTGAAACGCATTTTTCTTGTTTTGTAACATTTTCTGAAATTTTTTTTCGGCGTTGGGTACTACAATTTATGTCATTGTTGCAATCTCGTACAACAATAAATGCGCATTGTAGGTGGCGCTAAAGTCTCAAAAAAATTGTTTTTTCACTTTTTCACCCTGAAAATATCATTTTAATGGAAAACTTTAAATGCCGAAGTTGTTTCGTACATAATTACCAACAACTTTTGTATATACAATTTTTTTGTATTACTTACCGTTTTCAAGTTATAAATTGCGCAGGTATGAAAAATCCAATAGAGCGGTTTTGGGCAGTTTAAGTACACATTTGCAGTGCACATGTCAATGTACGTTTTTACTATTTTTTTTTTCAATCATGAAAAAAAATAAAAATAAAACTATTTTTTTTTCATTTTTTTTTGTATTTCAATCATGAAAAAAAAAATAGTAAAACGTACATTGAAATGTGTACTTGAACTGTCCAAAACCGCTCTATTGGATTTTTCATACCTGCGCAATTTATAACTTGAAAACGGTAAGTAATACAAAAAAATTGTTTATACAAAAGTTGTTGGTGTGTAAATGAATGTACGAAACAACTTCGCTTTTTAAAGTTTTCCATTAAAATGATATTTTCAGGGTGAAAAAGTGAAAAAACACTTTTTTTGAGACTTTAGCGCCACCTACAATGCGCATTTTGTTATTGTACGAGATTGCAACAACGACATAAATTGTAGCACTCAACGCCCTCTACAATTATGGTCGAAAAAAAAGTTTCTAAAATGCATACAAAACAAGAGAAATGCGTTTCAAAAAATTTTTGACGGTTTTTTTGAGTTTTTCAAAAAACGCCTACGAGTTGATCATGCCCATCGCCAAGGTGGCTTACTGACGTCATTTGGCAACAGAAAAAACAAGACTTAGCCTTTAGGTTTTTTTTTCACTGAAACGATATTTTTTTCGACAGATTGACTGTACTATTGATTTAAAAAGTTTTTCACTCCAAATGTTTTTCTTTTGCTAATTGACACTATCGACAGTGTCATCATTCAACATTTTATTGTCATTGATTTGAAAAATGTTTCACATTTTTTTTTGTTAAATGTCACCATATAAAATGTCCACATTCAATATTTTTTATTAAGGTGAAGCCACCTACGACTCTCTGGTGAATCACTACATTTAAAAATACGTAATATAAAAAATACAATTCAAAATTAAATATAGCAGATGCTTGTTCCCGGAAAAATAGTAGGTTGCTGTGGGATTCTGAGAAAAAACGACACTAAATTCGTCGCACCATCGAAAGACAATGTATCGTTACTACCTACAAGGAAGTGGAACAATTTTCCTCCCAAATAATTGGTATTCAACGATGTTCTTTAACATAGGAAAAACAAACCGACGTAAGTTTTCAGGAAGTCGTAACCTCATACTAAAATGACAGAATACCTATTAAAGTCTCAATTACAAGTACTAGCTCAAGTTAATGAGGCGCTAACTAATAGATACCTCTTGTAAAGGTCATGACTTTTATCTTTTTCTTGGTCATGACCGTAAAGTTGTTATCGAGTGCGTAATTGAAAATATAGTAGTAGTAGTATGAAAAAGAAAAATTTTCCCACTGCAAACCTGCAAACTATCGTAACACAGTTATCCTGAGGTTATTTCACCAGCGCTTTCGAACAGGTCTCCTAATTAGCAATACAGTAGCTAGGAGGATTGATACCGTTCACGAACTCACTAACTACGTGTTGTGGGGGCTGTTGATGGTAAAGGGAAGGAAGTGTCTTGGTATTTTCGTAGATCTATCAAAAGCCTTTGACACATTTTTCATCCCCAGGCCTCTGACTATATTTGAAAAAAAAAATGGAATAAAGGGAACGCAGCTCGAGCTCAAAAGCTGTTTATCTAAGCGCAGTCAATCTGTAAAGCTGGGAAATTATATAAGTTCTGAGCAACGAATACAATATGGTGTCGTACAGGGAAGCATTTTGGGACCTACGCTAGTCTTAATTTATGTTAATGACATGTGTAACAATGGCAAATTAATTGCCTACGTCGACGATATTATATGGCTTTTCTCAACAAGTAATTGGAATGATACCTATCGTCTTGCACACACACACATTAATGTTCATTAACATTTATGTTCATTAAGTTTATTTTATCATATTTCTGTTATTTCCAATTAGATAAATTAGTATTAAAATTTTATGTGCTCATGAATCTTTTGCACAAACATAAAATAATTAAAACATCAAGGAAGGATCCTTTTTCAACCGTTGACAAAAACAGGAGGTTTTCAAGTAGATGGTTATATATTTTTTATGTATGATTACTCATAGTCTTTTACTCGCAATACGATTTTGATGAATATTTTTTCATTGGATAGGGTTTATATGCTTCGAAGTTGGTCCTAGATAAATTTGTAAACAAAAATCCTATTCCAAGGATGTAAAAATAGGGGATATTGATATTGGTAACTCACAGATTTTGATGCTGAGTTGTCTATAAGAAAAATTAGAGCCACAAAAAATTTTAAAATATAAACTTTTTCAAAAAATAAATATCTCGGAAAATCTGAAAAGTAAAAAATAATGAACCTTTTTATCTTTAGCCTAATTAATATTTAGATTCGGTGCCATGCATGTCTAATAAATCTGAGTTCCCATTTACTACTTGGGTTGCAATGGCACCGACTCCAAATATCAATTTGACTAAAGATAAATAAAAATATTATTTTTTACTTTCAGTTTATTCGGCGGTTTATTTTATTTTGTCAAAAAGTTTTTATTAGGTACCTTCTTGCAATAATTATTGTATGCGTCACAAATATAACTTATATCATGAAATTAATTGTAAAATTGTTTTATGTATATCCCTAGGCCTGCCGATTGACCTAGGGATATACATAAAACAATTTTACAATTAATTTCATGATATGCCTTGTGAATTGCCAGCCCAATCTCCCGAGAAGGTCCATGACCCAGCAATGGGGGCATTTATAGGCTGATGATGATGATGAAAATATATAATACCGAATTTTATCCAAATTAGTTTAGCGTGAAAAAGAAACAAATATCTATACAAACTTTCACATTGGCATATTTAATATAAGTGGGGTAACAACATAGGTACTAATCTTGTATGTACACTCGATAAGCAGAAGTTACGGCGGTGAAAAATAAAAAATCATAAGTACTACATAAATAAAAAATAAATAAAACCATAAGTATCCTTTGCTTTGCGTTTTTAGTAAACTCGGTAGGAAAAATTAAAATAAACTGATATTGATGAAATATAAAGTGTTTTTTATTAATAACGTAGGTAAGCATATTTATTACATAGTTTACACTTCAGCCCAGAAATTGCGACAACTTGAACTATCCATAATTTATTTTTGGTTTTTACGTGTATTTATAAAAGAGTTATTCTAGTTTTTTTAAACTATTAATTTATTTTATACTTTTTAGTCTTTGATAACAAAATATATTTAACATATATACATTTGTTTTAAATAAGCGAATGAGCCCGCATCCTCTCCATCTCCGCCAGTGCGTCTGTATTGCATGGTGTTTTACCAGTCAGCTTAGAACAATCTTGCTCTTCAATCTGGAGACCACTAAGTGATTTTACTCTACTTATGGCCACATACGCCTGTCCACCCGCAAAAGTACGGGGCTCTAAGTAAATCACTCCGTGGTCTACCGTACAGCCTTGCATCTTGTGTACGGTAGATGCCCAACTTAAAATCACTCCACCTTAGAGTACCATCATCAGACCAGCTCGGTGGCACTATAATATTGTATTGTCACCTAATCTACATATAATTGCAAAGTTTTATTATGTTAAGACGAATCTCGTGAGCCCCAACTTGATTTGTTTACTAGTAAGCAGTCCAGGGTCCATCACCCACCTTCCAGTCCATCGCCAAGTCCTCGACATCAGGAGAAATGAATAGAATATGTTAAGGCGAATCTAATAAGCCCAAACTCGATATGTTTACTACTAGACAGTCCAGATTCAGATTTCAGATTCTTAGATTCCATTACGTAGTTAGTTAGATACAAGTGTGAACCTAATAAAAGCGTGTTAAAAAAAGTCCGTGGCAGCATATTTTAAGGGAGACTCACTGTAACATTTTCCTTAAATTAATGCGGGTGAAACCGAATTAAACAAATCCCTTGGGGAGTTGACAGGGCATCAAAACATGAAAAACGTGTATCATAATAACTCCCAACGCACCTCAGTGTCAACGAATTTGGCATTCGTGCGTGAAAATATGAGAAGTTTCTAGTTGCTACACATTGACTACAATAAATTATGAATAATCCGTTAATCAGCAATTTGCTAATTAAATGTACAAGAAAATTAGCAACATTAGCGTAATTTATGTTTTTCTAACACTCCCAGTTCAGCATGGGTGAAGTTTTCAACATATTTAACTACTTACAGTATACTTACACTGCGTCAAAAGTTATTTTGCATTAGTGACAATATTTATTTATATGTTTGCGTATTTGTAGATTTGAAGGTTCATATTTATTATTTAACTTTTATTTATTATAAGAAGTGACATCTATCAATATTCTTAAAAACTGTGCTTACTGAACTCGCAGACAGTTGGACACTTCTCTGGGCGATGCTTCGGGTAGTCGTGGCGTTTTAGTTGATGTTTTCGCTACACAACGCTAGATGTCACTTTAAATATATAGCGTATATTGGTCCGACATGGGCAATTATTCAAGAAAATACACTTACCATGGACCCAGGATTACTGATAGTTAAAAGCATTTAATTTTGAGAAATCATTAAAAAAACATATTAGTGATGCAAAACTAGTTTCTGTATATTTTCCTTACAAAACTAAATTCGGAACAAGCTTTTGACGAAACAAAACTTTTGACTTTTTTATTTACCCCTAAATCTAAAAGAACCACTTAAAAGTTTTAAGTGGTTCTTTTGGTGGTGGTTTTAAGTTAAAACCCTGTAATTTGTTAAAGAGCCCTCAAAAGCCGCCAACAGACTAGTTAGGTCCTGGCAATTTTAGAAAATATAATAACAACGCCGTTATTTTATTTTGTACAAGAAAGAAATGTTAAGTGTAAGTGTCGCCAAGATACATGATGCGGCAGAAGGTGTGCCGCTCCAGCCATGCTCACCTTTCTAGGCCTGGACCCAATCTCCTACCCCACGGAGCCCTGAAACCCTACTCACCAGCTAAAACACGACGCCACCAAAAGATAGTGTTATTTTACTTTGGTCTTCTGTAAGACGGAGGTTTCTTCCCTAAATGGGCGCCCAATTTGAGCGAGAAATCAGCTGTGCCTTACCTCTCTTAGTTCACTGGGATAAGTAAAGTGGAATTCCTAGCTTGGTCAACAGGAACACATATTCCGAAATGGGCCTTTCCGAGGGCCCTTACAATGAAATATATATGGCCTAAAAATCATATCCTACTTATTTTCCCAAAAAGGAGAAAACCATCCTGAGTTTTTAACCACAGAACACAGTTTTGTATGTTCTGTGTATTTTATAAATGGGAGGTAAAAAACAAAGCACACCTGATGTCCTTAAAACCACAGGAATGCTCCCCACATTCGGCAGATAATTGAGCAATGAACGTTATGGGTGCGTGGAGTCTAGGCTATCGAAACATCTCCATTACAGTAATTTATGTTCCTGCATATAATGTTATTGACCAAGAAAGTTACACAATATTATATCATTGAAACATTAACTCACCAAGGATTGCTCGCAAGTGGCCTTCGAGGGTCTGCAGGATGGTCATCTTGATCTCCCGGACAGTCTTGCCGAGGAACTGCTCGCAGGCTGTGGTCAGCAGTTCGTCCTCGTTCATGATCTTGCACTGGGCAACCCCGGTGACAGTGAGCGGAACGCCTTGGGCCGTCTCCACCATCTCGCACATTGGGTTCAGTGTCATAACCTGAAAGGGAAATGTAAATATGTGTTTTTACGATGTCTCTGGAGCCTGAGTGAAATCGGGGCACGAGGGCTAAAGACCTAACCGAGATGCACCTCGAAAATAAGAGGAGTGGAGTTTCCTCTTGCGGGGATCACGAGGAGTCTTTGGATTCAACGAAACTTATTCCGGTCGACGAGGGTGTACTATTAGGATTTTCGCAATCAATAATAATATAACATAGAAGAAATGATAAAATAATAGATAGCGATCCTTCTTTGTAAATTATTATTCTAAAGATTTTCGTGTATCGCCTTCCCTCCCCTCAGGTCGTACAGGCTGGCTGAGTTGCGGGCGGGATTTGGGGGGAGGAGCCCGACGTAAGCTCGTCGAATTTCCCTAATATTAAAAAAAAGGTTTCTTACCTCAAGGGAGATGCGTTGGACATCTGTGACAAGCCACCACGCGAACGCCCATCCGCCTACTATGGTGCGCTTCTGCATGGATCCACAGCATCCTCCTGCAGATAAGCAAAAAACATATATTAGGACAATCACCATCATATCAGCCGTATGACCCCCACTGCTGCGCATAAACCTCCTCGAAGGATCTCCACACCGGTCGGTTCTGCGCTATTTGCATCCAGCGGCTTCCCGCTACCCTTACTAGATTGTCGGTCAACTTCGTGGAAGGCCTACCCAGAGAGCGGCGTCGGGTACGTTAATACAACACAACAATTTAATTTATTTAGAAACTAGATACTTTTATAATGTAAAATAAAGAATGCTTGACTTGTTTATTCTGACGAAAACCGAGTCACTGACGATATGTATGCAAGAATTTTAACGTCTACGCTTCTTGGGGAGTTTTTCCCTACACTATTTGAAATATTTTACACGTGACATCATTATTTAAGAACAGTGAAAGTGGTACACATCGGGCTTAGCATTTCTTTGTCACCAGTGAAACCGTGTCTAATAAGGTTCATTGGGCTGTGGTATACAACAAATTGTGCGTAAATGGTCCCAACTCCCAATCCTTGTATCTATATTCCTCAACTATGCCATGGGAAGTTTGATTTGGGTTATTAAAGACTTAGTAGTAAGAGAAAGTTCAATATTACTTATTTAAAGACCCAATGATTTTGATACAACAAACATATATATTTTATTAGCCCATACAAAATTGTCATCCCCTTATTTACTTCACGACAAAGAGTAGCTTACGTTCGTCTCCATGCAGGGTCTCGTCTATCTTTATCAGAATTCAGCATAATCAATTCAGTAGTTTAGGCCCGTATTAAAAGATCGTGAGATTTTATATTTGGATGTATATAAAACAGTATCTCAAGATCGTAATCTCAGAGTTGAGAGCGAATACGGGCCTGAAACGTGAAAGCATTACAAATAAACAAACAAACTTTCGCATTTATTAGGTTAATATAAATATATATAATCAAATCACACATCAACATAACAAAAACTGGTAAATTTGTTGTTATTATCATCAGCCAGCTTAATAATGCCGTCATTGCTGGGGCTCAGGCCTTCCATAGGGATGGCGCAGGGAGATTGGGATGGACTCACGAAGCTGGCCCAGTGCGTATTGGTAGATGCTAACGACTGCAGATACAGCCGAGATCCGAAGCACGAAGGAGCTCGAGATAATAAGTTTTTGGTCGCCCATCCAATGACCCACCATTACGAAAGTTGCTTAACTTCCACGAACGCAGATCGAGCATGCTTACCACCTGCGCCATCGAGATTCGAGCTCCTCAATTGTATTTGTTGTTATCGACTAATAGTAACAGCTAGAATATAAAAGTTTCCAGTTTACATAAATAAAAGGGCCCCAATTGCTTTCGGCAGTTTATCTTGTTAAAATTACCCTACTTAATACATTTAAATACAGAAAAACTGATTCATTATCTTGTATATACATTATGTTTTTTTTATTTTTAGCGTAACTGCTTGATGTTGTCTTTAGATTTGTATATACATTACAGTCTATCTACCACACAGTTAGCTGTTACATTGTTCTTTATAGATGTCTTTTGTTTATACGTAGCGCAACAAATTACCCTACCCCACCTGATGTTAAGTGTATGTAGAGCCAGTTGCGAAGATGTGCCGCTACAGCCGTCCTCACCTTGTCGGTCTGAAGCCCGATCCCTAACACCAAAAGCTGGTGTTATTTACTGCGGTCTTCGGTAAGGTGGTGGTTGCTTCCCCAGACGGGCTCCCCAATTGAGCGGGAAATCCGCTGTGCCTACCTCTCACAAAAATCTCCTTCATAAACGATATTTTTAATGTCATAGTTTAGCAACAAGTGACTTTAATAACGTCAAATGAAATCATGAATTACATCGCACGTAGATATAGGGCCATTCACCTCAAGGGCACAATACATACAAGAGCAGTAGCGTAACTCAGCCGATTTCTTCAAATAGATACCTACGACTAAGCGGCGCGCTAGGGTTGGTACCTACAAAATGTAAAACAGATTAGTGTAGGTTTTTATTGTGATAATAATAATAATTTTATTTTTAATAAGTTGTTACATCATGAACACATTAATTAATCAAATTCTACAAGTTTTTAAATAATCATAGATACATAAGAGATAATAAATTGTCATTTGATGGAATCGACATTCCATACAGTGACAATATTAAAAATCTTGGTGTCACAATGGACTCCAATCTGTCCTGGACGGCCCATGTCGCTAACGTCAGCCAGAAAATTTACTACACGATACATTCCCTTAAATGCCTTCAATATTTTTTGCCATTGTATTCCAAAATTTCACTCGCTCAATCACTCATTTTGCCGCTTCTCGATTATGCCGATGCTTGCTTCTTAGATGCCACAGAGACCTTACTGAACAAACTTGAGCGCCTGCAGAACCTCGCTATCCGCTTCATCTTTGGTCTACGCAAGTATGACCATGTTTCTAGTTTTCGTAAGGAACTCAAGTGGCTTCCCATTCGTCTGCGCAGGAATGTTAGAATCCTTTGTCTCCTTTTCAACATCCTCTATAATCCACAATATCCACCTTACTTCCGTGAACGGTTTTCCTTCATGCACCCTTCAACAGATCCTTGCAGATCCCACTTCAAATCCCTTCTCTTCTCAGTACATGCCGTCCGTCTGTGGAATTCGCTGCCAGCAGAAATCAGAGACTCTAGTTCTGTCTCAGTGTTCAAAAAACATCTGAAGGAACACTATTTATCTTCTTGCCCTTAATTCTGCCCTTGATCTTCTCATTGTTTCTCTTCTCGTCGTCCATATTATATGTATGTATGTATTTATATATCTATTGTCATCAATTTTATATTCGTATGTGTATGTATTTATTCATTATTTAAGTACTTGTATATATAAACCTATATGTATATGTAAACCCCATATTTATTGGTATTAACATGTATTTATATTCCGGTGTACACGCTGACTACCTTTACCTATTTTCTTTCCTTCTACGGGCCGACTGTAAGAAATTTCAGATTGAAATAAGTTGTACTCTTGTACATGTTATCTTTAATTAAGTTGCTCCTATATTATTTTTGTGTGTACAGAATATATAAATAAATAAATAAAAGGTGTATTTTATTTTTTATTTTGACTAAACGTAACAATACTGTAGCATTGACTGTGGGTCCCACACTAGGAGAAACCTGTATCGTGGGCACCCTAATTTATTTATTTATTCAGAAAACCAACAGCGTAAAAAAAAATTTTTTTACATACTTTCTAATACTAAGGCTAATAATAGGTTTCCTATGAAATTTACAATTGTACTAAGACGTGGGAAGACATGATCTATTGCTTATTAGCTAATACTAGTTTTATTGTGTATGATGGAGAACCAAGTACATAGTCCCTCATCACCAACTGCTCCCGGCGACCCGAGTCTTTGTTAATAGAATGAATGTAGTATAATTTTTGCCGTAATAGCATACCGAACGTATTAACTGAAATACTGCAAAACTCGCTGTTTAAATGTGTGTTTCGATATCCCGAAAAGTTCAAGTTCGTTAAATTTAGTATTATATTTACGTGCTATACGAATGAGGACATTGTTACTAGCATATCTAGTGGAGTATTTAGGTGTACACAGCAAGGGAGTATGGCGTGTGCGTCGCTTAGGAGTACAAAATCCGATACGGGCTACTAAATCCGCGCAGTCCAATTGCCCATTTAAGGTGTCGAACAGTAGGCACATGTCAAGCAATACCCGCCTCTCCTCTAAGCTCAAGAGGCCGTTATGTTGACATCCACTATGATATGAATCAGGAGAAATACGTTGTCGATAGTTAAGATGTTTAATAATTTTTTTTTGAATTCTCTCTAGACGATCTTTGTGTATACTATATTGGGGTGACCAAATTTGACTAGCGTATTCTAATGTACTGCGAACATATGCACAGTAAATTGATTTAATGGCGGCCATGTCACTAAAGGGTTTGCACGAACGCAGGACGAAGCCCAAGCTTTTGTAGGCCTTGTTAACAACGTGGTCTATATGAGGTGTTAAAGTCATCCTACTATCAAAAATAACTCCCAAATCTCTAATCTCCGTCACTCTTGCAATTGGGTTTTTATTGAGTGTATATTTGTTATGAATTGGCTTCGTGTATATGAGATACACTGACACTTGCCTATATTGACAGTGATTTTGTTTTCCATGTAATACTTGCTAAGATTGTCTAGATCGGATTGTAGGGATTCGCAATCGCGAATATTTTTGATGCGAAGAAAAATTTTTTTGTCGTCTGCATATAACAAGTGTTCGGCATATTTCAAATGAACCCCAATGTCGTACAAGTAAGCGCTATAAAATAAAGGTCCTAGATGCGACCTCTGAGGCACGCCTGTTGGTATATCAATGAAGTTTGATCTATATCCGCCCAAAACAACTGCCTGAGAGCGGTTTTCTAAATATGACTGTCTCCAACGTAACAAGTCCCCGTGGATCCCCAGACTATAAAGCTTGTGAAGCAAGATGACGTGATCGACGCGATCGAAAGCCTTTTCGAAGTCCGTGTAGATCACGTCTACCTGTCCACCGCTGTCCATATTCATCAAAGTGTAATTCACAAAGTTAGATAAATTAGTAATAGTGGAGCGACGACGAAGAAAACCATGCTGACGGTCTGATAATCCTTTGTAGATAACAGGGTAAATCGCTGCGTACACAATTTTCTCAAAGACTTTACTTATTGTATTAAGTATGGAAATTCCTCTGTAGTTTTCCACCTTTGTTTTGGAGCCTTTTTTGTATATATAATAAATAGGATGGCGTCACATTAATAATTTATATGTAATTATTATTTGTAACAAAACAAACGTAATGAAATCAATTATAAATACTAAATTAAAATCAATATTTTATGAGATGTTGGTCTTATTTGGTGTGCTTAATAAGGTCCTCTGTTTGAAGGTAGGTCATGCACTTCAGCCTTTTAGTGAGCACGCGTTTGGCTTTTTTCAATGTAGCTGGTTTTATGTCACACAGTTTTTCCATTTTATTATACACATACGGGTGCATGTGACTAGGAAAGCGTTGTGCAAAAGCGGAACGTACTCTGACAACGGGGACCCTAAATACTCTTTTGCATAAGAGGGAGTTATAATAAGGTGAGCTTAATACTTGACGTAGCATTTTTGTATTGTATGTGTATAATTACTTTTGCCACGTTACGGATTCGAAACAGAGGCGCGGGTGGCGCGGCGCAACTAATTTAACTCGGCCAACGACCAGTCTTGGCGGCGCGCGACGTGGTACTGCGTAGATTTGTCTTGCCAAGATTGGTTAGCTATGTAAATGACGATTGTCTGTGTGCGTGCTTCGATTCGGGCGCTAGTATGAAGTCAAAGTACTGCTCTTGTATGTATTATGTCAAGGGAGAGCAGTGCGTCACAAGATCACAACAGGTTCGTTCGGTTTAGAATTACAGTTGTTACGTAAACCGGTATTCTGGTATCTTGTATTCCTGTCACTTTCTACAAGGAAGTTGGATTTTTCCTCTTCCTAGGAGCATGAAATACGGATACATAAAGTTTTCACATCAAGCCTAATCTTGTTCTAAAAGGAATTTAGAAAAGCAAACAAAACTTCTCATGCGGAATCACTGAACAGATAAAAAGTTTCTTGTAAATTTAAAGGTCATAAATCATATTATTTAGTTGCTTTTGCCCGCGGCTTCCCTCGCATCAATATTGACAAGTTTGAAAAAAAATGGGACGATGACGCAATATTTTTTTGCGACAAAAGTAGGAAACCTTTTACTGTTATCAGGATCCCATCTATAATATCTATTGCAAAATGCATAATTATACAAAACATACTTAAGGAAAGACCTGACAATCTTTTGTTTATCTATATCGTTCCGGTTTGCTACCTTCAAAATTATCGCTCGGTACTAATTTTGTGGCACGCGAGCCTCAGTTTTACCATCACGTATGCTGAAGTATTTAAGAACTTAAGGAAAGCAAAAGAATGAAACTGCTGCACCTGTTAATTATCCAACGCAGACAGTCGATTTCAATTTCGGAAACTCTCGTCGACCAGTAAACTGCCACTTTTATTTCCGAATAATATCTCTATGCAGCTAGTGATAGAATTAGATCATAGCGTCATTTATGGGTAGCTAATCTATCAGAGTTCTTACTAAATTGAATCACTTATGTCATGACACGGATCGTTGCTTTAATCCTGCAAGAAAATATAATATGACTTAAAATTTGACTGACTTCCAATCATAAGAATTAAAATATGACTTTCAATGTTATACGGCGTTATTGTTTAGCTTATGCTTTCTATATTTGATTAAATTACAACGACAGAAACATGCGGTTACTTTCCTGTCGAGCCGGCAAAAAATCCGTGAGAAATTTTCTTTTGTGTCATTTTCCGTAAAGAATAAAATTCAATGTTTATTCCTCTGTGATCATTTTCTAGTTATGATTTCAAAGACTCTAACAAATTTTGCATATATTCTTAAGAGGTATCTCTTAACGATTTATTATGCAAATTTTTGTTAGGGTTGCGCTCATATAAGCGCGAGTGCCTAATACATACTACTAAATACTACCTATAAATTTTCGCTCTGTCATGGCAACTTCGGAACCCTACATTGGGCATGACCTAACACGACATGGTTTCACATAACAAAATGTTTTTCCAAACGTGTTAACTAAACCTGAGAACAATGATTCACTTCATAGAAACTAAGTGTTTTACTGTTCGTACCAAACTTAGAAATAACCATCAAGTATTATTATGCCAAATGTTATTGAAATCTAACCAGTGATCTGTCTTTTCTTTCAATGAAAGTACAATCGACATATCTCGTTGATATCTGCTCAACTGAAAATTTCTTTAAATCTTCGTGGAGGCCTAATCATTTAAAAACTTATAGATGAGTCCAGTATATATAGCTAATGAAATAAAATCTAATGGGAGGAAATATGAGGGGTAGGACACCAAGAGACGCAAATGTGTGTAGTGAGAAAATGACATTCAAATTCAGGAAGTAACATACAAAATAACAAGTTAAGTATTTATTAAATATACTCATAGAACTAAACCGCCATAGGTACTTAGAACTGTAGCAGAACGAAAACTTACTTGCAACCACGTCCTTCGATTCTAGAACAATGATCCTAAAATGTTCACTCCGTAAGGATGTGACCTCTACCACGCACCAGTCTTTCGCTCCCACCATTTCACCAATGCAACGGCCTACGTGCTTTGGAGTTGATCACTAGCAACCGAAGAAAGCACCCGCCACTTTCTCCGCGAAGGAAACAATTGCTATACGAAACGAGAAGACGAGAGTGACCTACAGTTCTTTTTAAAATCACACCTCCTTGTTAATAATTAACTACGGTAGTGAACTGTGTTATTGTAAGAAATGTAATAAGTGTTTAGTGATGAACTAGTGAAAATTTACGGATACATTTTCGATGTGACTGTTGTCGTTAATTGTAACGGGAAACGAGTAAGGTTAGTGTTGTTCGGTTTTGTAAATTTGTTTCCAATGTAACAAAATGATTACTAGAGTACTACTACACTAGAATTATGAAAAGCAACAAAAACTGACAGCCCGGATAGCGGAAGTAGGTTCGAGTCCTGTCTATACCTGGACCAAGTGGATTTTATTTGGAAATTTAAAAATTTTCTTTTTAATTGAATATGGTGGGCCCAATATTTACTACCATATCGGCATTTTTTGTTTACCATACAAATACAAGCATAAATTTAGTATTTTTTCCTATTTTATTATTTCACTCTTTTTATGATATTAAAATTTCGTGTTCGAGATAAGAACTCGTTTTAACTTTCATTCCCAATTAAGGTCCACTTTCAGCAATTTTGCTAAATCCCTATTCAACTAAAACTAGATATAACCTATAGAAAAATGTCAAAACGCCAATGTCAGTTTAACATTATTGTATGAGCTATAACTAGTTTTAGTTTAATTTGGATTTACCAAGATTGCTGCAAGTGGACCTTATTGCTTTTAATAAAACAATACAACTGTTTTTAATTTATTAGGGCAGAGAATTACTAAATCTCGATTCAACCAAAACTGGATGTAGCACAGAAAAAATGACAAAACGTAATAGCTTTATTGTATGGGCTAATATAGTCTGAGTTAAATTGAGATTTAGCAAAATTCCTGCAAGTGGCCTAAATTACGTATAATTACTTTATTTTGTTTTCCGTATTTGTTGTTATAGTGGCAAAAAAATATATCATCTGTGAAAGTTTCAACTATCTAACTATCAGTTTATGAGATTCAGCCTGGTGACAGACAGACACTGGAGTCTTAGTAATAGAGACCCGTTTTTCCCTTTGGGTACGGTACCTTAAAAAGCGAAAATATATAAGAAAAAAATCTGTCACGGCCAAACGCAAAACTACAACCTTTTTTTAAACCTTACTGCTGCGGAACAAACCACGAGGCGTACTGGACAACATTACTAAGCGATTTTTTATCTATCACGTTATAATATCATAGCTTTCTTTCGATACAACTCTCGATTTTATTTGAACTGACGTAATTTCACCAAAGCTTTCCAAACAATTTGGGATATCATGCAATTCGTAATGATATGGATGTTGTTTGTGATTATATGACATGGTTTATGTTACGGCACAAGTTGTTTAATATAGCTGCATCTTGTGTTATAGTCCCAAATTGTGTTTTGTTCTTGCTAGAAACAAGAATAAGGCCCGTATTAATGGATAGCTCCCAACTTTGAGAGTGATCGTGAGTACGATCTTGAGATGCTGTTTTGTATGAGAACAGTATCTCCAGATCGTGGTCTCAGTGGTCAGAGTGATCTATTAATACGGGGTCACTATTAACTAAAATTATGCTTACTTAAAGATACTTAAAGTTTAATAAGTTAAACATTTTAAGATCTTATACGTAGATCCAGTAGTTGTGGCCAACGACTGCAAAAACAGCTTCCCGGCCAACGGCCTTCCGAAGCATGGTGGAGCCGTAAATAATAATTGTTTGGTCACCCATCTATTGACCGACCATTGCGAAAGTTACCACCTGCGCCATCGAGCTCCTCATTACTCTCCTGATTACTATAATTAATTGAGTATAAATGTTTGATTTAAATACAAATAAAAATATCTTTATAAGAGATTTAGATAAAATCAGCTTAAATTATCCGTTCAATGCAACAAATAGCATAAAGCTATATATAGATACCTAGGTATTTTGATTGGGTTTTATTGCTGGCTTGAGAACTAAAATAAAATTGACAAGTTTTCCATCTATTGCTTACTGAATTCATTTCCAAAATATGAAAAGGAATTATGTTCTTATTTAGTCAAATAATAAACTGCACATTGTTAGTGAGGAACGGCACTTAGGGGAACGGCACGATAAACTATTCTTAGAAGATTATACTGTCACATACTTATGAACACATACAGAATCATCGCAATTTACTACGCGAAACAACGTGAGAATTTGTCGCTATATTTGTCATCGTTACTTCATACACTTTCTACGCCCCTCGAAGTCGGACACTAAAACTCCGCCTGTGCATTAATTACTAGCATGTTGCGTAACCCCGGATTTTCACCACGGAAACGTTTAATATTCTGGATAAAGAGTATTGTACATACAACTGTATACAGTACGTACCTCTATAAGTGCGTTCGACTCGGCTTCGGTCCAACGAACAAGCAGAATCACTTTCTACAAAATCTAAAATAGCATACGACGAGCATTAACAGAAAAGTTCTAACCTGTTCGTAAGTATAAAGAAAACTGAACTTAATTTACGTGTGAACTTTAAAATGAGTTGTGTAACACTGACAGTTCGATTATGTGACGATGATAATGTAGAAACAGTAGATGAATCGGGATCGTACCAAAACGGAACCCGGAAAGAATGCGAATGTGAAAAGAATCTAAAAATACGTTTGATTAATATAAATAACTAGTTGTGACCCGCGGTGTTACCCGCGTTTATTAGGGATATTTTCCCGCAGTGAAACTTCAAGTATGTGTTAATCCAGGGTGTCAGCTAACTCCATACCAAATATTATTAAAATCTCTTCAGCCGTTTAGACGTGAAGAAGTAACAAAAATACACACACACACACTCACAAACTTTCGCCTTTATAATATTAGAGTCATACGCTTGGTAGTGTTAGGTACATTAAATGAGATCAAATAGCATGTACAAAAAACAAAGTAACGGAAAATTGACATTTTAATCCGTTTTTGTAAAAAACGGTTTACAAGGAAGTTTTAAAAATTCGCCAGATCGAAGAATCGATAAAGTGTGCCACTAAAAACAGGTGACCGGACGGTGTTAGTGGTTGGTGCCAGCGTGCGATGACGCGACGAGTAGGCACACTTTGCTAACGGTACCGTACCAGCATTCCTGTGCCACAGTTAACGTTGATGCAGCGATAACTTGTAACTTCAATTGTGTTGAGAAAAAAGCATAGCACATCCTGACCCCGTGGCATGAGCACCACAATTTACATTATATCACGTTTTATATCGCGTCCAACTGTGAAAATCCATAGTAATTTGACACTTGGGTGTGGTAAAAACGCGTTACATATCATATCGCGGTGCTGGCTGCATGGAAAATCGCTTTTTGGTCCTATTCTTCATATGAGAATAAAGTAAAGAATAAAGATTATATTGGCATCACGGCGCCATTGTTCTTTTTTGTATGTTACTCAACCACACAAAAATGCTTGAATAGATTTGGATGAAATTTGGCACTACATATAGTTTATTACCTGGATTGCAACGTAGGATAATTTTAGTCCCGGAAAAGGGTTAGGTTCCTGTGGGATTCTCAAGAAACCAAGGTCGCGGGCGGCCGCAAGTCTAATGTATAAAATTCTCGTGTCACGGTGTGCGTAATTGAACTACTCCGAAACGGCTGACCGATTTTCGTGAAATTTTATATGCATATTCAGTAGGTCTGAGAATCGGACAACATCCATTTTTCATCCCCCAAAATGTTAATTTTTTTGGACAAAATGTATTGTTTTTTTATGATACATCATACAAAAATACATACAACCCTAAATTTTCACCCTTCTACCACCAACCCCTAATTTTTTAATAGGGACAGTTAGTAATATTATAAATGTGAAAGTTTATATGTTTGTAACTCAATCACGCAAAAACTAATTACCAGACTTGGATGAAATTTGGTACGCATATGGTTCATGACCTGGATTGAGACATATGGTACTTTTTATCCCGGATTTTTTTATACTGGAAAAGTGTCGCGTTCCTGATGGATTTAAAAAAAAATGGATGCGTGTAACTTATGTACGCACGTGAGAAGTTATACTTCTTTAGCATCATTAAAAATATTTTTTAATTGCATGCAAATAATTAATAATTACAATAAAATAATAAAAGGACTGGAAAAGGATAGTTAACACAGTCAATTAAGTTCAGTTTTAATTTGAAAAATTAAATAAATATTCAAAATATTCAATTCAAATCACTACTGAATTTAAGTTATTAGTCCATATGTAATTAGCACTTGTAAGTAACTAAAACACGTTGTGTCTATATAGAAACTAGAAACATGTGGATAAATATTATAAATATGAAAAATGTGATCAGAGGCGACGAGCGTGCCAACATTGTTTTTGACAACGCGATCATGTTATGGAGCTCCGTGGATCGTTCAAAGTACCTTTCGAACAGACACTAACATTCATAACGCGCCCGCGGCCAACTTCATGGTGTTACTATTGTGTTACAGTAATGCGCGCGCATCTCGAAATTTCACTCACATGATTTTTTCATAACGCGCCCGCGGCCAACTTCATGCTGTTACTTTTGGGTTACAGTGATGCGCGCGCATCTAAAAATTTCACTCTCATCATTTTTTCATAACGCGCCTAAAGAAGTATAACTTCAAAAACTAAAGTTAACGCAGACAAATACATAAATGCAAAATAATGCATGCCCCAGGCGTATACTTAGCAGAGATAGTGAAAGATTTGGATCCTAAGCCAGAATAATAAATGGGAACATGTAGTCAGGTTTCTGCACGAGCGAAGATCACGAGATCATTGGATATATAGGTATATCTATACATATAATTAAATGGTAAGAAAATCAAAACTGTACATTGAATATTTTTAAAAGAATAATTGGGGTGTTGTGATCTACAGTCTGGGATAAACTCAAAAAGTACTGCATGG